CACCTGGGTGGCTCAGTCAGTTAAACGTCTGCCTTTGGCTCAGGTCATGATCCCAGGGTCCTGGGATGGAGCCCCACCTTGGGCTCCCTGCTCAGCGGGGAGCCGCTTCTCCCTCTCCTCCCCGCTTGTGCTCTCTCTCACTGTCTCTGTCACTATCTGTCTCTCTCTCAAATAAATAAATAAAATCTTAAAAAAAAAAAACCCAAAGACTATAATAAGAGACAAAGAAGGGCATTATATAATGACAAAAGAATCAATCCAACAAGAGGATATAACATTTGTAAATATTTATGCACCCAAAATAGGGCACCTAAATATATAAAGAAAATATTAACTGACCTAAAAGGAGAAATAGATAGCAAAACAATAATAACAGGAGATTTTAATACTCCACTTACATCAACAAATAGATCATTCGGACAGAAAATCAAAAAGGAAATATTGGCCTTAAATGACACGAGACCAGATGAACTTAGATATATAAAGAACATTCTATATAAAAGCAGCACAATACACCTTCTTCTCAAGTGCACATGAAACATTTTCCAGGATAGATTATATGTTAGGCCACAAGTCTTAAAAATTTAAAAAGATTGACATCGTGTCAAGCATTTTTTTTCTACACACAATGGTATAAAACTAGAAATCAATTATAGGAAGGAGACTGGAAAATTCACACATATGTGGAAACTATACAACATGCTCCTGAGCAACTAATGAGTCAAAAAAGAAATCAAAGGAGAAATCAAAAAATACCTTGAGACGAATGAAAATGAAAATACACCATATCAAAATTTATGGAATGTAGCAAAAGGAATTCTAAGGCAGAAATTCATGGTGGTAAATACCCATCTCAAGAAACATGAAATTCTCAAATACCCTAAGTTTATACTTCAAGGAACTAGAAACAGAAGAAAAAAATGAAGCCCAAAGTTAGAAGAAGAAGAGAATAACAAAGATCAGAGTGGAAAGAAATGAAATAGAGACTAAAAAGATAATAGGAAACATCAGTGAAGCTAAGAACTAGTTCTTTGAAAAGATAAAATTGACAAACCCTTGCTAAGACTCATCAAGAAAAAAAGAGAGCTCAAATCAATAAATCAGAAATGAAAGAAGTGATGTTACAACTAATACCACAGAAATACAAAGGATCATAAGAGACTACTATGAACAATTATATGCCAATAAACAACCTAAAAGAAATGGATAAATTCCTAGAAACATAACCTTCCAAGACTGAATCATGAAGAAATAGAAAATCCGAATTGATCAATTATTAGTAAGGAGATTGAGTTAGTAATCAAAAACTTCCTACCAAACAAAAGTTCAGGATCAGATGGCTTCACTGGTGAATTCTACCAAACACTCAAAGAAGAATTAACACCAATCCTTCAAAGTATTCCAAAACATAGAAGGGCAGGGAACATTTCCAAACTCATTTTTACGAGGCCCGCATTACCCTGATACCAAAACCAGACAAGGACACCACAAGAAAAGAAAATTATAGGCCAATATCTCTCTTTTTTTTTAAAGATTTTATTTATTTATTTATTTATTTATTTGAGAGCGAGACAGAGAAAAACAGCATGAGAGGGGAGAGGGTCAGAGGGAGAAGCAGGCTCCCCACCGAGCCAGGAGCCGGATGCGGGACTTGATCCCAGGACTCCGGGATCATGACCTGAGCCGAAGGCAGCCGCCCAACAAACTGAGCCACCCAGGCACCCCTAGGCCAGTATCTCTTATGAACATAAATGCAAAAATCTCAACAAAATATTAGCAAACTAAATTCAACAATACATTACAAGGATTATACACCATAATGAAGTGGGATTTACTTCAGGGATGCAAGGATGATTCAATATTTGCAAATCAATCAACATGATATACCACATTAACAAAGTGAAGGATAAAAAATCATATGATCATTTCAATAGATGCAGAAAAAAGCATGTGACAAAATTCAATATCCATTATGATAAAAACTCATGATAAAGTAGGTATAGAGGGAACATATATCAACACAATAAAGGTCATCTATAACAAGCCCACAGCTAACATCATACTCAACAGTGAAAAGCTTAAAGCTTTTCCTCTAGAGTCAGGAATAAGGGAAGGATACGTACCTTTGCCACTTTTATTCAACATGGTATTGGAAATCCTAACCAGAGTAATTAGGCAAGATAAAGAAATAAAAGGCATCCAAATTGGTAAAGAAGAAGTAAAACTGTCACTATTAGCAGATGACATGATATCATATGTAGAAAACCCCAAAGACTCCATCAAAAAACTGCCAGAACTAATAAATTCAGTAAAGTTGCAAGATAAAAAATAATCAATATATAAAGTCAATTGTGTTACTATACACTAATAACGAATTCTCAGAAAGAGAAATTAAGAAAATAATCCCAGGGACGCCTGGGTGGCTCAGTCGGTTAAGCACCTGCCTTTGGCTCAGGTCATGATCCCAGGTGCTGGGATTGAGTCTCGCATCGGGCTCCTTGCACAGCAAGGAGCCTGCTTCTCCCTCTGCCCCTCCCCCTGCTTATGCTCTCTCTCTCTCTCTCTCTGACAATAAGTAAATAAAATCTTAAAAAAAAAAGGAGAAAATAATCCCAATCACAATAACATCAAAAAGAATAAAAGACCTTGGAATAAATCTAAGCAAGGAGGTAAAAGACCTGTACACTGAAAATTATAAGAGGAAAGAAATTTAAGAAGACACAAATAAATGGACATGGATTGGAAAAATTAATATTGTTAAAATGCCCACACTATCCAAAGCAATTTACAGATTCAATGCAATCGTTATCAAAATTCCAATGGCATTTTTCACAGAAATAGAATATACAATCCTAAAAATTGTGTGGAACCATAAAAGACCCCCAAGTAGCCAAAGCAATCCTAAGAAAGAAGAACAAAGCTGGAGGTATCACACTCCCTGATTTCAAACTATATTACAAAGACATAGTATGGTATTGGCATAAAATAGACACATATGTCAGTAGAACAGAATAGAAAACCCAGAAATAAATCCCATGCACATTCAGTCAATTAATTTATCACAAAGGAGCCAAGAATATACAATGGGGAAAGAACAGAGTCTTCAATAAATGCTGTCAGGAAAACTGGACAACCACATGCAAAAGAATGAAACTGGACCCACTATCTTATTCCATACACAGAAATTCACCCAAAATGGATTAAAGACTTGAATATGAGACCTGAAACCATAAAATCCTAGAAGGAAACATAGGTGGTAAGCTCCATGACATTGGTCTTGAGTGACGGCTTTTTAGATCTGACTCCAAAAGCAAAGGCAACAAAAGCAAACAAACAAACAAACAAAACCAAGTGGGGCTACATCAAACTAAAAAACTTTTGCATAGCAAAGGAAACTATCAATAGAACCAAAAGGCAACCTACTGAATGGGAGAAAATATTTGCAAATCATGTATCTGTAAGGGGTTAACATCCAAAATATATAAAGAACCCATGCAACTCAATTAGCAAGAAATCCAAACAATCCAATTGAAAAATGGGCAGAGGATCTGAATAGACATTTTTCCAAAGATATACAAACGGCAAATGGGTACATGAAAAGATGCTCAACATCATTAATCATCAGGGAAATGCAAATCAAAACCACAATGAGATATTACCTCATCCCTGTCAGAATGGCTAAAATCGACAACACAAGAAACAACAGGTGTTGGTGAGGAAGCAGAGAAAAGGGAACCCTTTTGCACTGTTGGTGGGAATGTAAATTGGTGCAGCCACTGTAAAAAAAATATAAGGATTCCTGAAAAAATTAAAAATAGGGGTGCCTGGGTGGCTTACTTGGTTAAGTGTCCCACTCTTGATTTCGGCTCGGTCATGATCTCAGGGTTGTGAGATCAAGCCCCACATCAGGTTCCAGGCTCAGGGCAGAGTCTGCTTGAGATTCTCTCCCTCTCCCTCTGCCCTCCTCCCATTCGCACGCATACCTCCCTCCCTCTCTCTAATAAATAAATAAATAAAAATAAAATCTTAAAAGAATTAAACATAGAACTAGCATACAAGCCAGCAATTCTACTTCTGGGAATTTATCCAAAGAAAACAAAAACTAATTTGAAAAGATTTATGCACCCTTATGTTCATTGCAGAATTATTTTCAATAGCCAAGATATGGAGATAACCTAACTGTCCATCAATGGATGAACGAATAAATAAGTTGTGGTATATATATATCCCCACACACAGACACAGTGGAATACTATTCAGCCATAAAAAGAATGAAAATCTTGCCATGCGGAACAACAGAGATGGATCTTGAGGGCATTATGCTAAGTGAAATGAGTCAGACATAGACAAATATCTGTGATCTCAGGTACATGTGGAATTTAAAAACAATAGCAACAGCAAGCTAAGCTCATAGGTACAGAACAGATCAGTGGTTGTCGGAGGTGGTGGGGTTGGTGTGAGAGAGATGGATAAGAGGGGTCAACAGGTGCAAATTTCCAGTTATAAAATAAATGTCACGGGGATGTAATTTACAACATAGTGACTGTGGTTAATGGTACTGCATTGCATATTTACAAGTTGCTAAGAGAATAGGTCTTAAAAGTCTTCATCACAAGACTTTGCAAGTAAAAGCCTTCCTCACAAGACTTGGTTTTGTAACTATGTATGGCGACGGATGTTAACCATACTTACCGCAGTGGTCATTTTACAATATATACAAATATTGCATTGTTATATTGTATACCAGAAACTAATATAATGTTATATGTTAATTATACCTTAAATTGTTTAAAAAAACAAGCAATACAGAAAAGCCACTAATTTTTTACCATCCCATAACCATATTGTGAAATACTATTCTTGAAAAGTCAGAATCACTCTTTCATTTGGGCTGACAGCATTCTTTGTTGAAGAACACTAATCCTAAAAAAAAAAAAAAAAAAGAACACTAATCCTGCATTCTAGACACACAGAATCCTGTCCCTTCCCTGAGCTCTTACCATTCTTGCAGATGCTGATATTCAAAACTCCTGAGCCCAGGCAGTTTCCTTTAGGCACACAGAAGCCGGCATTGTCTGAGGTATTGGCTAGTACTTCTCCAGGCACCTCATACCGGAAGGCAGGCAGTCCCTGCACACTCTGGAAGTCACTGAAAGTTATGTACACTGATCTGGTAGGAAGTAAGGAGGAAAAGTCAGTGCGGGCTCTGGTCAGTGTAATCTGCCCCGAACCAGTAAGTTAACAACCGTTCTCAGGCACAACGTGGCTAAAGTTGATGGGGTATAGGTGGGAAATGAAGATGCAAAAGAAAGCTTGAAAGGAACTCACACCACTCGGTGCAGGAGAGGAATTATCATGAAAGATGTTTAAGAGGCAGCAACTGTAGTAACAGCCAAACCAGGCCAAGGGAAAACAATGTGTGGTAGGAAATAAAGAGGACATTTAGGACGGAGACTCCCAGGGAAAGAAAGAAAAGAGTCGTCCAGACCAGCACGGACACGTGCCAGTGTGGCCAAAGCAGCAGCGAGGGTAGGGCAGAGGCGAAGCAAAAGCAGAAAAGGTGGCAAAGGGCTTGGCCAGGTAGATTTTTAAGTGCTTGAAACGTGCCCCATTAGCCAGACATTTGATTTGAATGTATACTTTGATACCGATTTCCCTCAAGTAAAAATAGTTTCCATATTTTGGAATTTATTACAATGTTTATTATTTCAGTCATTTATCTCAATGGAGTTTGACATAATTTTGCCGTCAGTCCTTACGGAGTTTCAAACAGTGGTCCCATGTACTACTAACCACCCTTGTATTTGCACATCCTGAGCGACAGGTGAAGCACTTTCACATGCACTGTCGCAAGTGATCCTTCAGCCCTGCAGCTGAAGGCCAAAGCGAACTGCTTTCTGGGTCTGGCTATTTTCATCTTTGAACCAGAGGTGGGAGACGTCTCTTGCAGGGTTGTGAATCACATGGGAGCTGCCTTCTACTCACGTCCCACCCCTATAGCATTTTCTGAATAAAATATTTTAGGCAAACAGAAAAGTAGAGAAAATACCATAATAAATACCTTTCAAAACAAATACTACTCAGATAAATAAAAAGTATAGTATGGGTACAACTGCAGCCCTCTGTATAACACTTCTTTCTTTTTTAAAGATTTTATTTATTTATTTATTTGAGAGAGAGAAGGAGAGAATGAGCAAGAGAGCACAAGCAGGGGGAGCAGCGGAGGGAGAGGGAGAAGCAGACTCCCCGCTGAGCAGGGAGCCCGATGTGGGGCTCGATCCCAGGACCCTGGGATCATGATCTGGGCTGAAGGCAGACGCTTAACCACCTGAGCCACCCAGGCGCCCCTGTATAACACTCCTGATTACAGTCCTTCTCTGAGTCCCCAGAGGTAACCACTGTCCCGAACTTGGGGTTTATCCTTCCCTTGCAGGTCTTAATCCTTTCACAGATGTGCACATTCATAAACAATGGGTGGCATGGTTTGCTATTTTTAAATGTTATATAAAACAGTATGCCATGTTCTCTTCCTATAATTTGCTTCTTCATTCAATATTACATTATTAAGATTATGCAGTATTCCGTCATATGAATACACCACGGTTTATTTATGTTCTCCTTTTTACAGAGACTTAGGTTGCTTCCAATTTTCCACTACTAAAACCACGTTGCAATGAACTTTTCCAACTACGTCTCCTTACTTGTCTACACAAAGCTTCTTTGGGCCAGGGAACTGATGCAGACCAGTGAGGCACCGTGGCATTTGCACATCCTCAGCTTTACTAAACATTGACAAATGGCCCTTCAAAAGTGCTCGTGTCGGATAAGAACATGTTTCCTCCGCACCAAATCTTTCAAAAAGCCTCCTATGGTGCTTCTAGGTTGCCTTGTTTCACTCACTGCATTCAAATGCATTTTCTGACCCTTCGGTCCTTCCACAAATATGTACGGGCGAGGGCAGCCAGCCAGAGAGGGACTGCGGTATTCTGTGGGGGAGCTGGGACGGCTGGGAACCATGGCACGGCAGCAGGGACAGAGAGGTGGGGGCCGATGCAAGAGCTCTTTCTGAGGAGGCACCCCAGCACCTGGTAGCAGAGTCGATGCAGGAGAGCAGGGAGATTTATAATGCCACCACTGTTCCTGGCAGGGCTGACTGGGTAGGCGGTGCAATTATGTGAGCTATGAAACACCAGAAGAACAGCCATTCTTCAGAATATTGAATCAACAGTGTCAAATGCGACTAAGTTACTTGGCACTTTGAGGAGTTTCATGAAAAGTCTTGGCGGGGTAAGTGGGGAGGATGTGGAGGTGGTGTGAGTCAGCCATTCATTCAGGCAGTCTGAGGGTGCAGGAGGGAGACAGGGCAGTAGCTGATGAGGGATGGGAATCAGGACGGAGAGCAGGATGCCTTCTTCCCAGAAAGGAGCCATAATCATGAAGGAGCAGGCGGGAGAGAGGGAGAGCTCGCAAGGCAAGTGGCAGCAGGTATGATCTAAGGGAAGGTGATAGCTCAGCAAATGCCTACAAACTCTGAACTAGGGACAACAGTTTGATTTATCCTCTGTGTAGAGGTTACCTGTCGACTGGAAGACCAGGTGAAGTATCATGCTTGACAGAGCTTATCATAATAACTAAGAGCCATCATTTAATATTGTTTACTGTCTGACAAGTCCTGGGTGAAGTATTTTATGAACAGTAACGCATTTGTCCCCATAACAGCTCCCAGGGTAGGCAACAATTTCTATCTTTATTTTACAAATGAGGAAAGTGAGGCACAAAGTGCTGAATAACCTTCCCAAGGTCACACAGCTGTAAGTGTCGGAGCTGGTGTTTAAATCAACCAATGCAGTCACGCTCTGGAGCCCGTGCCTGGAACCACGATGCCACACTGTCTCTCAATATGCCATCAGCATTCATCACTGATTTTTTTTTAAAGATTTTATTTATTTATTTGACACACAGAGAGAGAGAGAGCACAAGGAAGGGGAGCGGGAGAGGGAGAAGCAGGCTCCCCGCCGAGCAGGGAGCCCGACGCGGGGCTCGATCCCGGGGCCCTGGGATCATGACCTGAGCCGAAGGCAGATGCTTAACGACTGAGCCATGCAGGCACCCCAGCATTTGTCACTGATTAAGCAGAAATGTCCAGGGCTATGAAGGGTAGCTCCTTATATTCCTCACCCTTTTGGTCGTCTTGCAGTCAAATAACTTATGTGGAAAGTTCTTACCTGCAAAATTCAGATGGGAAGATATAAAGAATTTCCTCTTTGTTTATTAACGGGTGAAAAGAATCTCCATCTGTTCCATTAATCATATTGCACTTGTCTGTTGTCCACCAGTCAAGGGATCTGTAATTGATAAGCACAAGAAAGAGTAGACTATCACATTTGATTTTACATCTTTTCAGATGGTTGGGACTTTTCAGGCCTTAATTGGGAGCCAGCTACCCATAGAATCTCATTCATTTGCAGACACAGGGCAGATGCTGGTTAGGAATTAAATCAAGAGGGGTCAGAGTAGGCACCTGATCCCCAAATCAATTCTGATAGAGGCAACATCCAAAAATCCCTCTTTCCTTCCTGCAAAAAAGAGTATCCTATGTAGAGGTTTAGAAATGCCCATTTTATTAAAATAGTGATTCAGTGTAGTATGAACGATAGCCTTGTCCGGAGCTAGCCCACTGACAGAAGAGCTCGGGATAGGTATGTTCAGGTCTTGAGGAAGGAGCTGAGATGGCAGAGTAGTAGGAGGACCTTATGTTTGCCTCGTCTCTCAAACACAGCTAGATAAATATCACATCATTCTGAGCACCCAGGAAATCAATCTGAGGACCGAGAGAACAAACTGTAAAACTAGAGGGAGAAAAGAGGGCACGTCGTGGAAGGTAGGAGATGAGATGTGATTTGGGGGAGAAAAGAATCTCTAGTGCTATGGAGGGGAGGGAGCCCCCGATCCCAGAGAGAGAGAGAGGGCACAGGGTGCAGGTTATCACACAAGAAAAACACTCCTCTAAACCACTGATGTGGAAAACGAGAGCGGTTGATTACTGCAAGTTTTTTACAAGTGGCTGAGCTCAGAGACTAAAGTTTTAGCAGTCCATGCAATCACTGGGTGAAGCCTGGTGGGTACAGAGGTGCTCCTGTGGAGAAGGAGGGCAGAGGCCTCGGAGCAGACAGTGTGGTCCGAAGATCCCCTGGGTCCCACTGGGAGAGACAGTCCCCCTTCTTGCAGTGCACTTGGGAGAGGTGGCACTGCCTCTCCAGGGACAAAAGAGCCGGCGGTGCCAATGTGCTGTCCCGTTCGTTAGCATAGGAGCAGAGATGTCTGTGCGGGCCACTAACCCAGCTGTGGGCTTTTTGCTGCGCTTTACCATAAACTCCAAGCTCCTGTATGTTCATGTGACTGCCCTTCTGGGACAAACCGGCACCAGCCACAGTGTGGCAAGACCCTCCCCCAGAGGATCAGCGCAGGTCGATGCCATGCGGGGTCCCTAAAACTTGCAGTTTTGAAAACCAGCTGGCGGGCGTGAGCTAAGACACAGGAGTACTGCGCCATCAGATGGGCAGATGGCTCAGACATAGGGTGAAAGCAAGGGTCTGAGGGAAGCCTGGGACAAATGAGGGCAGAGTGTTTGCTCTTCTGGGAGGGCTTCCTGAACAATGGCGGGCACAAATTCCCCTTTGGGGATGAGAGAGCAGGCTGACGCTATTTTTACCCCTGCTTATCAGCACAGATGGACTTCAGTGAGCAGCACAGCTTCCCACAGAGGAGGTTTGAGCCGCTTACACCAAGCCCCACCTCCCTGGACTCTGCAGGTGCTTCTGAACCAGGGCAAGGGTGCCTGAAAGTCAGAGAGCAGAAAGCAGGCCCCTCCCGCAGAAGACCAGCACAAGACACCTGCACACCAAGTCTACTGACTACTGAGTGTACAAACCTTAAGTTCTAGGGGAAATAGTATTTAGTCTCTTTTAACAAGTTGACCAAAACACACCTAGTTAAAGCTCACCACACACTGGACAAGGTCCAAACACTCCCCACTGCAGGCAAGGAGAAAACTCTGCAGAGGACTGACCTGAGGGATAGGGCGGCCAAAACACAACAGCAGAGTGCACGCAGCACACTCCAGAGACACTTTCCGAAGCGCTAGGCCCTGGACAGTATAGGACCTCTTCTTAATATACACATTACTCTCAGGAGCAAGAAACATAAGAGGCTTTCCTAACATACAGAAGACAGAGACCCAGACCAAATGCCAAGATGGAGGAGTTCATCTCCAATAAAAGAACAAGAAGGAGTCATGGCCAGGGATCTAATCAACATAGATGTAAGTAATATGCCTGAATCAGAATTTAAGACAACAATCCATAAGGATACTAGCTGGGCTTGAGTAAAGCATAGAAGACATCAGGGAGTCCCTTACCGCAGAGATAAAAGACCTAAAAACTAGTCAGGCCAAAATTAAAAATGCCATAACCAAGATGCAAAACTGACTGGATGTAATGACCACAAGAACTGAAGAAGCAGAGGGACAAACAAGTGATATATTATGGAAGATAAAATTATGGAAAATAATGAAGCTGAAAAGATGGAAAGAAAAGTGTTGGATCATAAATGTAGACTTAGGGAACTCATTGACTCCATAAAGTATAATAACATGCGTATCATAGGAGGCCCAGAACAAGAGAGGGAAAAAGGGGCAGAAGGTTTACTTGAGCAAATTATAGCTGAAAACTTCCCTAATCTGGAGGAGGAAACAGACATCCAAATCTAGGCGGCAGAGAGAATTCCCTCCAAAATCAATAAAAGCAGGCCAATACCAAGATACATCATAGTAAAATTTGCAAAATACAGAGATAAGGAAAAAAAAATCCTGAAAGCAGTGAGGGGAAAAAACAAAAACCCTAACCTACAAGGGTAGACACATAAGGTTCCCAGCAGACCTGTCCACAGACACTTGACAGGCCAGAGAGAGTGACATGATATATTCAATGTGCTAAAAAGGAAAAATATGCAGCCACGAATACCTTACCCAGCAAGGCTGTCATTCAGAATAGAAGGAGAGACAAAGAGTTTCCCAGACACACAAAAACTAAAGGAGTTCATGAGCACTAAACCAGCCCTGCAAGAAATACTAAAGGGGACTCTTTGAGTGGGAAAGAAAGACCAAAAGCAACAAAGACTAGAAAGGAACAGACCAGATCTCCAGAAACACCAACTTTATAGGTAATACAGCGGCACTAAATTCATATCATCAACAATCAGTCTGAATGTAAATGGACTAAATGTGCCAATCAAAAAGACACAGGGTATTAGAATGGATGAAAAAAACAAGACCCATCAATCTGCTGCTGACCAGAGACTCATTTTATTTTGTTTTATTTTATTTTTTCTATGCATGTGACATTAATTTATTTCCTCTGTAGTTGTATATTTATATTTATTTATTATTATTTTTAATTAACATATAATGTATTATTGGTTTCAGAGGTAGAGGTCAGTGATTCATCAGTCTTATATAATACCCAGTGCTCATTACATCACATGCTCTCCTTAATGTCCATCACCCAGTTACCCCATCCCTCCAGCAACCCTCAGTTTGTTTCCTACAATTAAGAGTAAGAGACTCATTTTAGACCTAAAGACACCTGCAGATTGAAAGTGAGGGGATGGAGAACCATTTATCATGCTAATGGACGTCAAAAGAAAACTGGACTAGCCATAGTTATATGAGACAAACTAGATTTTAAACCAAAGACTGTAACAAGAGATGAATAAGGGTACTGTATCATAATAAAGGGGTCTATGCAACAAGAAGATATAACAATTATAAATATTTATGCCCCCAACTTGGGAGCACCCTATTATACAAATCAATTAATAACCAACATAAAGAAACTTATTGATAACAATATAGTAATAGTAGGGGACTTTAACACCCCACTTACAGCAACGGACAGATCATCTAAGCAGAAAATCAACGAGGAAACAATGGCTTTGAATGACACACTGGATCAGATGGACTTAATATATATTATATAAATATATATAAATATATATATAAAAATATATATATTTATATATTCATCCTAAAACAGCAGAATATACATTCTTTTGAGTGCACATGGAACATTCTCCAGAATAGATCACATACTGGGTCACAAATCAGGCCTCAACAAGTACAAAAAGACTGAGATCATACCATGCATATTTTTAGACCACAACACTATGAAACTTGAAGTCAACCACAAGAAAAAATTTGGAAAGACCTCAAATACAAAGAGGTTAAAGAACATCCTACTAAAGAATGAATGGGTTAACCAGGAAATAAAAAAAATACATGGAAGCAAATGAAAATGAATACACGATAGCCCAGTACCTTTGGGATGCAGCAAAAGTGGTCCTAAGAGGGAAGTATATAGCAGTACAGGCCTACCTCAAGAAGCAAGAAAAGTCTCGGGGCGCCTGAGTGGCTCAGTCAGTAAAGCGTCTACCTTCAGCTCAGGTCATGATCTCAGGGTCCTGGGATTGAGCCCCACATCCGGTTCCCTGCTCAGTGGGGAGTCTGCTTCTCCCTCTCCTTCTGCCCCTCCCTCCCCTCTGCCCTGCTCCTGTGTTCTCTCTCTCTCAAATAAATAAATAAAATCTTAAAAAAAAAAGCAAGGAAAGTCTCAAATACACAACAACCTGACACCTAAAGGAGCTAGAAAAGGAACAGCAAATAGAGCCTAAAGTCAGCAGAAGGAGGGAAATAATAAAGATTAGAGCAGAAATAAATGATACAGAAACAAAAAAAAAGTAAAACAGATCAATGAAACTAGGAGCTTGTTCTTTGAAAGAATTCATAAAATTGATAAACCCCTGGCCAGACTTATAAAAAAGAAAAGAGAAAGGATCCAAATAAATAAAATGATGAATGAAAGAGGAGAGATCACGACTAACACCACAGAAATACAAACAGTTATAAGAGAATATTATGAAAAATTATATGCCAACAAATTAGGCAATCTGGAAGAAATGGATAAATTCCTAGAAACATATAAACTACTAAAACTGAAACGGAAATAGAAAATTTGAACAAAAACCATAACCAGCAAAGAAATTGAATCAAAAATCTTCCAACAAACAAAAGTCTAGGGCCAGATGGCTTCCCAGGGAAATTCTACCAAACCATTTAAAGAATTAATACCTATTTTCTCAAACTGTTCCAAAAAATAGAAATGGAAGGGAAACTTCCAAACTCATTCCACAAGGCCAGCATTACCTTGATTCCAAACCAGACAAAGACCCCACTAAAAAGAAGAATTAAGGGCCAGTATCTCTGATGAACATGGATGCAAAAATTCTCAGTAAGATACTAGCAAATTGAATCCAACAGTACAGTAAAAGAATTATTGCCATAATCAAGTGGGATTTATTCCTGGGCTGCAAGATTTTCAAATCCATCAACATGATACACCACATTAATAAAAGAAAGGATAAGAACCACATGATCCTCTCAATAGATGCAGAAAAAGCATTTGACAAAATACAGTAGCCATTCTTGATAAAAACCCTCAACAAAGTAGGGATAGAGGGAACATACCTCAACATCATAAAGACCTACAGCTAATAACATTCTCAACTGGGAGAAAACTGAGAGCTTTTCCTCTAAGGTCAGGAACAAGAACAAGGATGTCCACTCTAACCACTGTTATTTAATATAGTACTAGAAGTCCTAGCCTCAGCAATCAGACAACAAAAAGAAATAAAAGGCCTCCAAAGCAGCAAGTAAGAAGTCAAACTTAAAACTATTCGCAGAGGACAAGACAGTCTATGTAGAAAACCCAAAAGAACTCATACATGAATTAGGCAAAGTTGCAGGATACACAATCAATGTACAGAAATCTGTTGCATTTCCATAAACCTATAATGAAGCAGCAGAAAGAGAAATTAAGGGATCGATTCCATTTACAATTGCACCAAAAATCATAAGATACCCAGGAATAAACCTAACCAAAGGGGTAAAAGACCTGTACTCTAAAAACTATAGAACACTTATGAAAGAAACTGATGACACAAATAAATCGAAAAACATCCCATGCTCATGTATTGGAAGGACAAATATTGCTAAAATGTCTGTACTACCCAAAGCAATATACAAATTTAATGCACTCCCTATCAAAATACCACCAGCATTTTTCACAGAGCTAAAACAAATAATCCTAAAATGTGTATGGAACCACAAAAGATCTTGAATAACAATCTTGAAAAAGAAAAGCAAAGCTGGAGGCACCACAATTCTGGACTTCAAGCTCTATTACAAAGCTGTAGTCACCAAGACAGTATGGTACTGGCACAAAAACAGACATACAGATCAGTGGAACAGGATAGAGACCCCAGAAAGGGACCCACAACTCTATGGTCAACTAATCTTCCACAAAGCAGGAAAGAACATCCAATGGAAAAAAGTCTCTTCAACAAATGGTGCCAGGGAAACTGGACAGCAACATGCAAAAGAATGAAACTGGACCACTTTCTTACACTATAGACAAAAATAAATTCAAAATGGATGAAAACCCTAAATGTAAGACAGGAAATCATCAAAATCCTAGAGGAGAACACAGGCAGAAACCTCTTTGACCTCAGCCATAGCAACACATCTCCTGAGGCAAGGGAAACAAAAGCAACAATGAACTGTTGGGACTTCATCAAGATAAAAAGCATCTGCACAGTGAAGGAAACAATCAACAAACCTAAAAGGCAGCCCACGGAACAGGAGAAGATATTTGCAAATGACATATCTGATACAGAGTCAGTATCCAAAATCTATAAAGAACTTATCAAACTAATACCCAAAAGACAAATAATCCAGTTAAAAAATGGACAGAAGACATGAACAGACATTTTTCCAAAGAAGACATCCAGATGGCCAACAGACACATGAAAGATGCTCAACATCACTCATCATCGGGGAAATACAAATCAAAACCACGATGAGATACCACCTCACACCTGTCAGAATGGCTAAAATTAACAACCCAAGAAACAATAGATGTTGGCGAGGATGCGGAGAAAGGGGAACCCTCCTACAGTTAGTGGGAATGCAAGCTGGTGCAACCACTCCGGAAAACAATACGGAGATTCCTCTAAAAGTTAAAAATAGAACTACTCTAACACCCAGAAATTGCACTACAAGGTATTTACCCAAAGGATACAAAAATACAGATTCAAAGGGGCACATGCTCCCCAATGTTTATAGCAGCATTACCAACAAGAGCCAAATTAAGGAAAGAGTCCAAATGTCCATTGACTGATGAATGGATAAAGAGGTGGGATATATATATACAATGGAGTATTATTCAGCCATAAAAGGAATGAAATCTTGCCATTTGCAACGATGTGGATGGAGCTGGAGTGTATTATGCTAAGCAAAATAAGTCAGAGAAAGACAGATACCATATGATTTCACTCATCTGTGGAATTTAAGAAAACAAAACAGATGAACATAGGTGAAGGGGGAAAAAAAGAGAGGGAGGCAAACCAGAAGAGACCCTTAACTGGGGATTAAGGAGGGCATTTGTGATGAGCACTGGGTGATGTATGGAAGTGCTGAATCACTATATCGTACGCCTGAAACTAATATTACACTGTAGGTTCACTAACTAGAATTTCAATAAAACGCACGGAAAATTAAAAGAGAACATTTAATAAAATATGTTGGAACATTTAATTAAATATAGTATAAAAATAATAAGCATTTTACTATATTTGGCTTCCAAAGAATGTGAAACAAGTTGAAGGCAAGAATAGCTTGGAAGATGGGCATAAAGTGTTACAAAATTGGTAAAGTTAGTGTCCTGTTTGGGAGGAGAAGAGACAATAGACAGCTTTCAATTTTGTCAGGAAACTATTGTTAAATATGAACCATAAAAACCTGAGGATAGGGATGCCTGGGTGGCTCAGTCGGTTAAGCATCTGCCTTCCGCTCAGGGAGTGATCCCAGAGTCCTGGGATCAAGCCCAGCGTCAGGCTCTTTGCTCAGCAGGGACCCTGCTTCTCCCTCTGCCTGCTCCTCCGCCTGCTTGTGCTATCTCTGTCTCTCTGACAAATAAATAAATAAATCTTTGAAAAAAAAATCTGAGGGTAGAATAGATATAAACCAGAAAAAAGTCCAATACATTAAATACTGTATCATTATATTGTAACTGTATCAATAATTATATATTTAAGAGGATCACACTGTGCTATTGAAAGATTAGAAAGAAAATAACAGATTGAATCTAAAAATCCAGCTTTATCCTGTGTACAAGTAAATCTCCGTGTGGCCAACCCCCCAGGCCACCCACGTCCCCTGCTCCAGGGGCAACCCTGTTACCAGCTTCTCATATATTCTTTCGGGGATCTTACCTATTTTGGGGTGTGTATGCACAAATGTATGTTTGTGTACATGGATATGTGTGCTTTTTAAAATTTAAATAAACTTTTTATTTAAAAATAGTTTGAGATTTACAGAAAAGTTGCAAAGGTAGTACAGAGGGTTTCCCCTATATTCCACACCAGTTTTTTTGCCCATATTTCTGGGAAGCTTAGATGTAAATTTAATGTTCAAGAACAGAATTTTTTTTTCCTCATTCCCTGAAGAACTACCCTCCTTTTCTCTCCAAGGTTTCTAATTCCTCTGACTTAAAGAAAGTATCTTGGATTATACGTTGCCTTATTGCAAATTCCCTCAGCTCCTTTTTGGAAGTAGTTTGTTTTTAATTACAAATGTTAAAAAATATTTCTGAAATACCATGATAGTGAAGTCAAATGTATTTTATCTTTAAAGAAAAACACGTGAACAATCCACAATCACTAAATTAGATTAAAAAGAGAAACTCTTCCCTCTCCCCCCAAAACAAGTGGTTTTAAAGTATTTGTGTTGTGGCTACACATCATTCAGAGTGAAACTTTTCACTGCTTATAACTCATACCTAGCCATGAATAGTCTACAAAGCTCTGATGTTTAATTTTGTAAAGTGTGTTACCCCAATCTTGATTTATACAATAGTAATTATAAATATATTTTACATATTTATAGACTTTTCATGCAAAAAATGACAGTGATAATATTTTTTTGAAATAATACATAAGTGGACGTTCAATTTAAACAAAATTTTAAAAAATAATTATACTGGTAAATTGTTACACTTACGTTTTTCCATTCCATTCCACAATCTTTGAAAAGTTAAGGTAACTGTCTTCTCCAGTTAGAAAAACATAGTCTCCATCACTAGTCCCATTTTTCTGAAAAGAAGTGAATATGATCATTTTAAGAAACTGTGATTGTTAATTTTATGTGTCAACTTGGTAGACTATGGTGCCCAGTCATTTGGTCAAACGCTGGTCTTGATGTTGCTGCATTTTGTAGATATGATTAACACTTAAAATCAATTGACTTTAAGTAAATTACCACTGATAATGTGGGTGGACTCATCCAATCAGCTGAAGGTTTTAAAAACAAAATCTGAGGTTTGCTGAACAAAAAGGAATTCTCAATTCTGCACTATAGAAATCCTGCCGGCATTTCTAGCCTGCCAGTCTGTCTTATGGATTTCAGACTGGCCACGTGCTGCCTCCACCACTGCATAAGCCAATTCCTTAGTATGTATAAATCTCTCAGATAGATACTACAGATAGATATAGATATAGATTTGGATCTCCTACTGATTCTGTTTTTCTGGAGAACCCTAATTGATACAGTAACTGAGAAACTTAAGCTTCGCGAAACTATCCTAGTTGGGCATAAGTGCTACCAAAGACTGAACCAGAACTAAGGAATACAGTGACTCTTTGACTAAATACCATATTAACCATATTATTACTTAAAAAGTAGGAGCCCAATTAAATAATGGACAAAGGATTTGACATTTCTCCAAAGAAAATATGCAAATGGCCAACAAGTACGGGAAAAGATGCTCAACATCATCAGTCTTCAGAGAAATGCAAATTAAAGCCACAGTACTATTTCATACCCACCAGGGTGGTGATAAAAGAAAAAAAAAAAAAAAGGAAAATGGGTGCCTGGGTGGTGCAGTCGGTTAATCGTCCAACTCTTGGTTTCGGCTCAGGTCGTCATCTCAGGGTCGTGAGATGGAGCCCTGAGTCAGGCTCCGCACTCAGTGGGGAGTCTGCTTGAGAGTCTCTCCCTGTCCCTCTGCCCCTCCCATTCATGCTCGCTCTCTAAAATAAATAAATATTTTTAGAAGGGGGGGAAATAACAAGCATTGGTGAGGATCTGGAGAAATTGGAGCCTTCACACACTGTTGGTGAGAATGGAAAATGGTGCAGCTGCTGTGGAAAACTATGGCGGTTCCTCAAAAAGTCAAACAGAATTGCCATATGACCCCAAATTCCACTCCTCTCTATATACCCAGGAGAATTCCATTCCAAGGTATATAGCCAATGTCCGTATAAAAACCTGTACACAAATGTTCAGAGCAGCATTATTCATAATAGCCAAAGAGTAGAAACAACCCACACATCCACCAACTGATGAACAGATAAACAAAGTGTGGTCTGTCCATACAACAGACTATGTCAGCCCTAAAATGAATAAAGTGCTGATACATGCTACAACCTGGATGAACCTGGTAGACATTATGCTAATAAAAGAAGTCAGACACAAAGGTCATATATTGTATGATTCCATTTACAGAAATGTCCATCTTGCATATGAATGTTCAACTGCCAGAGATGGGTCCAACTCAGAGGTGGTACCTCTTGGCCCCCATTTGTAGAGTGGGCATGTATGCTGAGTTGTTTTTTTTTTAATAAAGATTTTATTTATTTATTTGACAGAGAGAGAGAGAGAGACAGTGAGAGAGGGAACACAAGCAGGGGGGGTGGAAGAGGGAGAAGGAGGTTTCCCGCTGGGCAGGGAGCCTGATGCGGGGCTCAATCCCAGGACCCTGAGACTATGACCTGAGCCGAAGGCAGAGGCTTAACGACTGAGCCACCCAGGTGCCCCTGTATGCTGAGTTCTTTAATATTATTTTTTGCCTAAAGAAGCCAAGCTCCATTCCCAAATGCCCTTCCTCTCTGGCTCTGAGGAAGCTCCCACACAGAGCGCTGACTCTTCTCCTCCCAGCCTGGGCCAGCCTGGCCTCTCCTCCTCGGCACCAGAGGTCCCAGCACCCCAAAGGGGCTGTAGAGAGTTGGGCAGGTATGTGGGGGGATTACTTATGTTCTGTTTCAAACAAAAAGTATAATCTTACTTTTCTTTACAAAAGCAAAAAGAAAACCAAAAAAGACACAAACTTTTTAACTATTAAAAAATTTCTATAGATTCACAGGCAAATTCATAGAGACAGAAAGTAGGTTAGTGGAAGGGGAGAAATGGAAGTGACTGCTGAGTATGTGGTTTTTCTGGGGAGGATGATGAAAATGTTCTAAAATTACACAGTGGTGGTGGTTGCACAACCTTGTGAATATACTAAAAACCGCTGAATTGTACACTTTAAAATGGTGAATTTTATAAGTGAATTATAGCTTAATAACAAAAAATAAGAAAGCATATGTCCAAGGCCAGGACACTATTATACATTAGCTGCAACAGAAGAAAGTGGTATTAATAATAGTCCCATTTTCAAGTAAGCTTTCTTCAGCTGTACATTCTCTCCAAGTTACACTTCTTTTTTTTTTTTTTTTAAGATTTTATTTACTCATTAGACAGAACGAGCACAAGCAGGGAGCAGCAGAGGGAGAGGGAGAAGCAGACTCCCCGCTGAGCAGAGAGCCCGATGTGGGACTCAATCCCAGGACCCTGGGATCATGACCTGAGCCAAAGGCAGATGCTTAACTGACTGAGCCACCCAGGTGCCCCACCGAGTTACACTTCTTAAGGGCACATGCAGACAACCTATATCCTTACAAATTCTTTATCTGAAGATAGAGATTTTTGATTTCTGGGAAATAGCATGGGTACTAGTTCCTCTATAATAATAAAGTAATAAGAGCTAACAATTATTGAGTATTTATAATATTCTTGGTACTGCTCTAAAATTGTAGTATGGATTATCTCATGAAATCCTCATCACCATCACATAAGATAGTGTGATAGACAGAATAATGGCCCTCCAAATATGTCCACGTTCTAATCCCCAGAACCTGTGAATCTGTTGTCTAATATAGCAAGGGGGACTTTGCGGATGTGATTAAGTTAAGGATCTTGAGATGGGGACATTATCCTGGATTACCTGGGTGGATCCAATGTAATCACAAAGGTTCTTACAAAGAGAGGCAGGATGGCCAGGTCAGAGTAGTAACTGTGATGACAAGCAGAGGTCAGCTGGAGAGAGACTGACAGTGAAGATGTTTCCCTGTTGGACTTGACAGTGGAGGAAGGGCTGCAAGCCAAAGACTGAAGCCTGCTTCTAGAAGCTGTAGAAGTCAAGGAGGTGGATTTCCTCTTCGAGCCTCCAGAAGAAACACAGCCCTGACCACACCCTGCTTTTAGGACTATTGACATCTGGAACTGTAAGATAATAAATCTGTGTTGTTTTAAGCCCCTAGGTTTATGGCCATTTGTTATAGCAGCAATGGGAAACAAATACAGACAAGCACTCTCTCACCCTCATTCTATTGATGACAAATCTGAAACAAAGTCAAGTTAAATAACTTGCCCAGATCACTCAACCAGCAAATGGTGGAGCTAGGACTGAACCCCACACTCCATGGGCTGATGTGCTGACCGGGCTGTGGTACTCAGTCATCTATTAGCGAGCACTTACTGAATGCCTACCATGTGTCTAGCACTGGAAATCAGTGAACAAAACTATAGCCTTCGTGGTGCGTCCATTCTAATACTATTATTATAATTGTTTTCATTCTTTTAAATGCTTATTATGTGACAGGCACTTGGTAGATAAGCTAAGAAGAAGACAATAACCAAAGACTGTTCTATTTCCATTGCTTTAAGCTACCTTTGGAGGTTTGTCACAGATAGCTTTTTGCGTATTAACACAGATGCATTCTGGTGATGCACAGGACTTGTGTTCTGCTTTATCTTGGAAAAAATAAATAAATAAAATAGTTTTTCTTCTGATTATAGAAGTAATACATTTTTCTGATTATAAAAGTAACAAAATCTCATTAGAAAATACAGAATGTTGTATAAAAAAAGTGCCCAGGGGCGCCTGGGAGGCTCAGTCGGTTATGCGTCTGCCTTCAGCTCAGGTCATGAGGGATCGAGCGCCGCATCAGACTCCCTGCTCGGTGGGAGTCTGCTTCTCCCTCTGCCTGCAAACCCCCACCCTCCACTCGTGCTCTCCCTCTTTATAATTAAATAAAATCTAAAATCTTTTTTTTAAAGTGCCCATTATTCATCATTCTCTCTCTTTTTTTAAAGATTTTATTTATTTATTTTAGAGAGAGAGAATGAGAGATAGAGAGCATGAGAGGGAAGAGGGTCAGAGGGAGAAGCAGACTCCCTGCTGAGCAGGGAGCCGGATGTGGGACTCGATCCCAGGACTCCAGGATGATGACCTGAGCCAAAGGCAGTCGCTTAACCAACTGAGCCACCCAGATGCCCTATTCATTATTCTCTTAACCATGGGAACTTTGGTCTGTTTCTTTTCAGTGTCTTTTCTATACAAGATTTGCTTATTGAACTAAGATAAATTATATATGTGTAATATATATACACATAATTTTTATACACATATGTAATTGTGCATATATAGATATATTTATACACACACACACAATTTTTTACTTAACATATTTCCCATGTTACCAAAAGTTCTTCACAGGTGTAATTTAATGACTCTACAACATTATGTAGAAATAATTAATTATTCTCTTATTATTGGATATTTAATTTTGAATTTTTTTTGCTACTACAAATAATGTTGTATGAATATCTTTACGCCTAAAAGCGTTGTCAGTACTTTTGTTTTCTACACAGACCCACCAAAGTAAAATCACTAGAGAAAAGGACACCAACGTGTTCAAGCCTTTTGATACATATTATCAAGTTGCTCAAGGTTGTCCAGCGGGAAAGTGGTGGAAATAGAAGGGTAAATCAGTTTACATTCCCCAAGTTACTTTTGTTAAGCTCTGCTAATTAGATGAACCAAAAAAGAAAAAGTTTTCTTATCTCTTTTTGCATTTCTATATTCCCGGAATTTGAACCCTTTTCTCATATCATTCAGCTCTTTGCCTTAAAAAACATTCATACCCTTTGTGAATTCTCTTCTCATGTGTTTTGCCTACTTTGGTTCTTCGTTCCGTCACTTAACATTATTTCGCCAACTATGTCAGTATATCAACTTGGTCCACATACATAATGGTCATGTCATGTTCCCCACATGAAGCTTCATGTGACTTTAAGATATGACAAAGAACTCTTTAGGAGCAGCAATGTGAACACTACACCAACTTAGAGAAAATTCAAATACTCTTCGTAAAAAATGCTGAACCACCAATTTTAAAAACGAATGGATGCTATTTCCTAAAGTCCTCTACTTAACTCAGACATGGGCTAAGCAAAGTAGAGAAGCATTTAAATGTTTCACAGTAATTCACAAAGGGTTCTTCCCAGCCGTTTTCCGCCCAAGAGTCAGACATTCCTCCCTGTCTCTTGCTAGAACCTCCTTGACGACAAGCAGGAATCAAGAGGTCTTATGTCATGATGGCAGGGATGTGTGCGGGACACAAGGAACGTATTACTGCAGGAGATGGAGAGGTGCCCTGGGCTAGGACTACCACAGTCCTGCCACTACTGTAACCTAAGCATGATCCCCACCCCCGCCCCCGAAGGACGGGCTGGACCGGCTGATCTCTCAAAGACGCTTTCCGGCAACTATGATTTTATACACCCAAGAACCCACATCCAGTGGGAGGGGCTGGCACTCTAACACCAAGGGGAACAGAGGCGCCCTAAAATCGCAGGGTAAAAATACGCTGATTGGCCCTGCAAGATGCAAACGTGAGCATCTGCTATTTAACCAGGTCCCTTCTTCTCAGAAGTTCTGTGCCGATATTCTACGTTCACTCATCCTGTTCATTCTCACACCCTGTCCCTCCCCATTAATTGTTTGGCTGTTTCATCACTAGAGTCTTTGAAGGAAAAGTGCGCAACGGCATTGGCCAAGATTTCTCTCTTCATCATGTGTCGTGGAGCAGGTGGGGCAGGCATGCAAGCCTGGTGCATCCGAGGGGAATGCTCGCACAAGACCACCAGGATTCAGGAAGGATTTTCGGCCAGGCTCAGGCAGGGGCAGAGGAGTGGGTGCCAAGGGAGGTGTGCCCCCTGCACAGCCTGTCCCGGTCTCTGAATGAACGGCGGCTCAAGTGTGAACTTTTGTGCTGTTGGCTAAAGAATCAGTATTTGACCAGAGCAGATGACAAACTGACCAGAAACACTGCCTTTTATCCAACAACACCACAGGTAGTTTATTTGGGTCCCAAATGGAAAGATATACCAGTCATTCGTATGAATTCAGGGGACTCTCTGGAGCCAGTCATGGGGGGAAAGAATAGCGGCTCCTGAAATGCATACTGCAATTTATAGTTTGCAAAGCACTTTTATGGACTTCTCAGCCTTGCAAAACAGCTTTGGAAGCGTGGACACTCTCAGCCTCAAGTCACACATGATGAAACCGAGGTTCAGAAATAGCCCCACAGTTATCAAGTGAAAAAGTCAGAACGTAAATCCAGGCCCTCTGTTTCCAGGTCTTATGCTCTATTCCCGGCTGTGGGAAATCCACTCAACATACTAATCCAACTAAGCAATGGCACAGGGCTTTTTACTAGTGGGGCCCTGTGGAGATACAGTGGTGTCTGCAAGGAGTGGTAAAGGGCAAGGACAGAGAAAGGAAGAAAAAAGTAAATAAGTACATAAAACAACACATTCTTGCCTTGGGAAAGCAAAAAATGCCAATTTCTTAACCAGTCCGTAAATGTGGGTTACGTTTTAAAAAGATATAAAAGGATCTTAGTTATAAGTTTGATGACGTCAATGATGTCAAAACAAAAAAAGCAGGCTATACAATGGAAGTTACCTGAAAAATACTGAGGTCTTAGGAACAGGATCTACTTGGCAGGTGGATGGAAGCCACTGGGACCCAAAGGGCCTTACGGAAAACTTTGCTGGGAACCTGGGTGGCTCAGTCAGCTAAGTGTCTGATTCTTGATTTTGGCTCAGGTCATGATCAAGGAGTCGTGAGATCTGAGCCCTGAGTCGGGCTCTGTGCTGGGCGTGGACCCTGCTTGAGATTCTCTCTCCCTCTCCCTCTGCGCCTCCCCCCTCTAAAAAATATACATTATATAATATAATAAATATAATTTTTTTAAAAAAGCTTTGTTGTCTTTATCTCACAAGTTCTCCTGAAATTTTTTCGAGAAGGGAGGTCTAGTCACAGTTTAACAAGAAATCAGTGCTTCCTCTGGTCTTGTGGAACGTGGGCTCCAATCAGATGGGACCTTCTAGGGAACATCTATCAAGTCTACTCCCCCAGAGTGAAGGATTCAGGGTCAGCCCAGCCCTATTCCTAGGACCCCCCACCTCTTACATGTATCATGTTAAAAACTTTTTTACTATTTTGTCTGGATGGTGTCCAAGTTTTGTATACCCTCGAAGGCACAAATGTATACCATTTGCCACAGACACAGAGGAACATGCTAGGAGATGACAGGGTTAGGGTGAGATTCTTGAGTAGTGACAACCAGAGAATAACTACAAACTTAAAGATGAAGAAATTCATCACAATCTCAGACTCCACCTTTCATCTAACGCTTAACTTTTGAGTTTTTGTCATTACCCACATCTCACTATCCATTTTACACAGGTTTTTGTTTTTTTTTTGTGTTGGTGTTTTTGGTGGGGGAAGACGGACTTTTAAAATTCCTTTTAACTTTAATGCATTTGAAACTCAGGCAGCAATAACATTTGCTTTGAATAATAATTACTCAAAGGCTGAAATTTTTTTATTTCAAGCCAAAGTGAATAACATCTGTAAGGAACCACACAAAATTCCACTTACTAGCATAAGAAATCACAGATGAGCGACACAGAGTTTCAAATCAACCAGTCTCTTTCGTGAATGACATATGTGAAAACGTAACATGTAGCTACCACCCCTAATGGATTACATGTTCCTATTTAGTTTCTCATTTGTCTCTATCAGGCTGATGTGTGGGTTCAGTGGAGACTTGATGACACTTTCAAAAGATCACACCCGATTAATGGCACAGTCACACTCTGTGTATTTTTCATAGCTGCTCTCATTCAAAGTCAGTGCTAGTAGCATGTTGAAATTGTGGGAGAAGGATTTTTTTTTTTCTAAAAACTAAAACACTTTCTTATTTTTCACAAGCTCTACAAGACATCTAGAATTCCAGGCAATTTTGGTCTTCTTCTGGAAGAAACCCGAAGTGAAGAGAAATCTGGCTTGGAGCGCACCGCCCCCCCCCCCCGCCACCCATCAGCTGAATAAAGAGGTTCTGAAAAGAAAAGTCAACTTACCCCATAGTACAGGCCAAAATAGGGAGAGATCTCTGGCTTGAAAATGTTGATGAGGGACAAGATCTCATCTTTGTAGCCCCAGAGTAGTTCGTCCACGGTGTGGGTCACAAAGAGCGTCTGCTGATAGGCCTTCAACAGGGCCTCGATGAGCTTCCGGAGGAAGCGGACCTGGGCCCATTCCATGGCAGTCTGAGAAGGACAGGCAAGTTCAGATAGAATCCCTGCCCGCCCTACTCTCCTACTGCCCCTTTGGCAAAGAGGCTTAAAAGTAAATGTTAAGACAGAATAGCTGCAAAATCAGCCAGAAAGATCCTCCCTGGATGCGTGTGCAAGAACAAGACGCTTCAGTTGTTGTCCTTTCTCAGTATTATATATTGTAAGTTTGAGCTTAGCATTCCCATCTGCAGCTAGCTCTTGAGTTCTCTCCACACTGCCAGTGGAACGAGAAAAACTCTTGTAAATACACTGGCATCTTTAGCCACAAGGTGGCGCCACTGTCCCTGTGATCCAAGCCAGAGGCTGGCCCCTCACTTTAAACCCTGCTGGCGTAGGCAGCAGGGCAAGGTCAAATCTAGGATCTAGTAATTTCTAAGTCCTGGGTCCACCACTGAGTGTCCAGCTCATGTGTCGTCATAGAATGGGAGCCTCAGAGGGGATTGCTGTAGGTGAATAGGAAAGTTTTCTGGGTCTCCGGCATCTTTCTTAGATGGGATTGTCATAACTGAGCCCAGTGAAATCCTGCTAGGCTGTAATCAGCACCCAGTCTCTGCTACTTATTAAGGGGGGGGAAAGTCAGTATATATTTTGAGAATTAAAAAATCTAAGGTTGAAATCTAAACTAAGAAGTGGTATGCAAATTCTGTTGCTGGGACCTTCTGAACCAAAACAAGGGGCACATAAATCTTTAAAAAATTATTTGCTATCCACCCCCACCCCCTCAAAAAAATCCTAGGGACATACTTACTTGCACAAGAGCTGATCCTGAACACTCAGCAAGAAACTGTGTGTGTGTGTGTGTGTGTGTGTGTGTGTGTGTGTGTGTGTGTGTGTGGCAGGGGGGGAAGAATCCTAATGTGTGTGTGTGTGTGTGTGTGTGTGTGTGTGTGTGTTTGGGGGGGTGAAAACATCTTTGAAAAGATTATGTCACCGTTTGAAAAATCTCAGAAAAAAGTCTCAGATGAACTCTAAGGGAGGGAAGTGTAAACATCTATTTCTATTTTTATATACGTATATTTTTAACATAATAACTCCTAAATGTTAAAACGTAATAGCCTTAACTTAGCTTTTTCCTTTCTTCTAAAATCCACAATAATGACACTAAAAATGCCTACTTACCACCACAGGAATATTTAATGTTCTAATTAAGTCAACTTTAGGGTCTCCAACAGATTGATTTCGTTCAAAAACATAGGCCTCTTTCCTAACAGCAGATATTGTCGTTCCATTATCTCCAAACTGAATATCTGCTTTGTTTCTGAGTTCCCTAAAAGAAAGAAAAGGATTCTGTTTGAAATTGGTACCACTTTAAAAAAGCAATACTTGACCTTTCTTTTAGCATCAAAGTTATTTCCAATACAACATTCCACTATAAGCATTAACGAGAGAGCCTACAGATACCGACCTCCTAAACACCGGAGACTAAAGTAGAATGTGGGAAGGAGATAAGGCCTTGGATAGTCTTCTCAAAACACTGTCCTTTTCATTCTTTCCCCTACAACAGAGGAAACACGATGGCCCAGGGTTACCCTGACCAAGAAATCAAAGCCAATGAACTCTCTGTGTTACAGTTTGCTTCTGAAAAATTTTCAAACTTTTCAGTTCACGGATTCAGTCTGAATTTCAACTTATTTTCCAAAGTCTTTTTATTTCTAACTTGAATTCAGTTGAAAATTCATTTAACAAAATATATGCCCAAGGCTTAGTAAATTAGAGGAGTTTGCTCCTGGTTTTGGTAATATAGCTCAGTTTGGTTCAGGTTCATGCCCCCGATGAAAGTATTAAGTTCACAGAAAGTGCCTGGAGCCAGGGCCTCATTAGGGTTGGGGGGGCGGGGGGCACTTGCCTTGCGTGCAAAATACCAGAGGTGTCAGAACACTCTGAAATGAAGGTATATCATACTGCAATGTGTTTTTTAAGGTCAAAATTAATGGCAAAAACATTCATGATGAACAAAATATCAAATTCTAAATAAAAACAGGGTCTGATAGTTGGTTCATCCAATGGTTTACACTAGTGCTGGCCCTGCCTGGTCCATAGTCGATGTTCACTAAATTCCAGAGTCTACTGCTTCTCTCCCTCTGCTCCTTGCCTTGTCTTCTTCCTGTTCTGTCTAGGGATGAGCTGTCTGACCCGGTAGCCATGTGTCTACTACGCCCTTGAACTGTGACTAATCGGAACTGACATGTGTTGTGACGGTAAAAGACACAACAGATTTCAAAAACAGCACAAAAAAAGGAGTGTAAAATATCTCCTTAATTTTTTATGTTGGTTACCTGCTTTTAAAAAAAAAAACTTTAAATACAATAGGTAAAATAAAAATATATTATTCATATTAATTGCACCTGTTTCTTTTTGCTTTGTTTTCAGATGTGGCTATTGGAAAAATCTTAAATTACGTATGTGGTTCACATTATATTTCTATTGGACAGAGCTAATCAATAAGAGTTTATAATTCTGAGAAAGCTACAGAGGCTACCCCCCACCTCCTCCCAGACCTTTCCTGACCACAGCCACACCCCTTAACACCTATGGAGGGGGCTGTCGGTACCATGTCTTTGGCACTAAACTGCTTAGTGACATCATTTAGATTGTGAAGGGATTATCTTAATGCCTCCGGTAGACTGCAGGCAAGCTAACGAAACCTCAATTTCTCGAATTTTAAAATAAAAATAGACAAGCAAATAAACAGACGTATATACAGAGATGCATCAAAATAGGTGTCTTTGCTCTTTATCTAAGCACCAAGCTATGCACAATAAATAAATATCGGAGCCTGCATGGCTCCTCAAAGGATTAACCACACAATTTTATCTGATTTCATTTAGTCCTTACGGCAAGGCTATGGCCCATACGGAGGTGAGAGTTTCTGCCCCACTGTGTTACAGAAGGGGACACAGGGCACAGACAGGTGTTAGAGGAGTCAGACCTGGCCTCCCTTAGGAGGTGCTTAATAAATATCTGCAGGGGGGCGCCTGGGTGGCTCAGTTGTTAAGCGTCTGCCTTCGACTCAGGTCATGGTCCCAGGGTCCTGGGACCGAGCCCCACATCGGGCTCCCTGCTCCATGGGAAGCCTGCTTCTCCCTCTCCCACTCCCCCTGCTTGTGTTCCCTCTCTCACTGTGTCTCTTTCTGTCAAATTAATAAAAATCTTAAAAAAAATTCTATTAAAAATTTAAAAATAAATAAATAACAAATAAATTATCTGCAGAAAAAAACCCATGAATGCCTCTAACAAATGCCAAATAGGAGAGAGAGAAAACTTACACACACTTCCAGTTACGAGGAATCAGTACAAAACCTGACAGAGGTTGTATGTAGCGTCAAATGCTCGTGCGGTCGGTCAGCAGTTAGCTGCAGACTCTGGCTGTCCAACGCCCATTCATTTCCTTTTCTGCTCAGAGCCCTGGTCTCCTTACTCTCCTGCACTGGGCAGTGGTGAGGGACCCAAGCTCGACCAGTTCATTCCCTTGGCTTCTGTTCCTGAGCACAGAGCCTCAAGATGGAAAACCCAGTAGAAAGACGGCTTCCTCTGGCAGGGGTGCATATGGCATGTGAGGACCTGTGCACCCCTGTGACCTGGACCTATAAAGTTGCCCCAGATCCTGCCCCTGTCTTCCCAGCTGCCCTGGCTGCCCCTTGGAGTCTGTAACCCACTTTATAGCCTTCAAATAATTTCCCTTTTTATTTAAATTAGCCAGAGATGGTCTGTCTTGATTGCCACCGAAGACCCATATATAGAAACCACAACCCGGTCTTTTGATAGATGAGAAGATGGAGATTCACATAAAGTAGGAGCCCCAGACTCACCAGCAAGTGTCAGGACCAGGTTTGGAATCCTGGTCACCTGACTCCACATCCAAGGTTTTCCTTGACTCTACACATAAGTGAATGCAAAGTGATTTGTTAGAGCTGGAGAAGAGGACCTCAGCCAAGGCTTCTGCCTACGGAGAGGGGCACCCCTCCACCACTGGCTAGTCCCAGAGCCTCCTGCAGGGAAGGTGAGGGGGACAGCCTTCTCTAGGTGTAGCTGCTTGTATTTGTGGCCCGGGACCCCACAGTGGTCTGGACTGAGCATTAAGGAACTAGAAATAGAAAAAGTGACCCCAGGGTGAACACCAACTTGCGCTCAGAGAAAGCCGAGCCAAGGAGCCAAGAGCTGGGACACGCCCCCCCCCACCCCCCCGCAACCTCCCTGGTGCAGAAGCCCAGGGTTGAACTCTGCCCCCCCCCCCGACTAGTGATGAAAACTGATAACCTCGCTAAGGCTTTTAACATTTTTTTCACTGAACCCAGATGTCACAAACCTAGAGTATGGGAATAATTCCAAGCCTTTTTTTTGCTTCATTTATGTTTGTTTATATTTACTGACTCTGAAGATGGCTTTTCAAATTTTTCTTTATTGTTTACCCTGCAAGAACCTAACATTTTAAAGGGAAATTGAGCATGGAGGTTCCAATCACTTTAAGCCCTTGGTAACTTGACTTGGTTTCTCAATAAATTCAAAGGTCAAAGCCAAGGGTTCCCAAACCACAGAAGTACTTACTTCCCTTGGCAGGCATGAGGGGACTATGTCAGGTCATTCACAGCTAACCACATGACTTCCTGTAGCCACCAGCCACCCTAAGACATGACTGACATATGGCCTGTGTTCTAACTGAAGGAAGACAGTGCTACTGGCTGTCAGAAGAGGCCTCCCCTCCTCAGAGGCCAAGGGGAGGGATGGTGAGGGGCTCCCTCTTGAAACAGCAACGGATGGAGGAAACCTAGAATGTTTCCCCTCCCAAGCCTCTTAGCAGCTGGCAACTGCAGGGAGGCCACCGGGGAAGGAGAGGGATTTTAATAATAATACCAACAAGTCTGGTTACCCAAACCTCCCCCACAGCTCCTCAACAGTAGTCAACCGGAAGCAGGGTGGTCTCCTGGGGAACAGCAGACTGAGAGCAAGAAGTGAGCCATTACTGCTCTACAGATCCAACAACACTAAAGAAACTTCCAGAAAGAGACACAAGAGTTAAAAAAAAAAAATGGCAAAGCAAATCTTATGCCTAGACAATTAATTAAGGAACTGTAGTTGAAGTGCCTGGTACTTAGTAGATGCTAATAAATCTTACTGATGTTCAAGGCCCCAGGACATCACAGGCTCAGATTATGGCTTACTGTTTTGTTTTATAAAGATTTTATTTATTTCACAGAGAGACAGAGAGCACAAGCAGGGGGGAGCGGCAGAGAGAGAGAGAGAGAAGTGGAGCCTGATGCGGGGCTCGATCCCAGGACCCTGGGATCATGACCTGAGCTGAAGGCAGACACTTAACTGACTGAGCCACCCAGGTGCCCCTGGCTTACTTTTTCAATCACAGTGATGGCCCTAGACATTAATAAAAGGTTGAGTTATACACCATGAACTACTTAATTAGGCAGGAAAATACAAGACTGATTTTAGAGCTATTTCATTTAAAATTATTTTTGGTTAAAACAGTTATTACTTTTTTTTTTTTAAGATTTTATTTATTTGACAGAGAGAGAGACAGCGAGAGAGGGAACACAAGCAGGGGCAGTGGGAGAGGGAGAAGCAGGCTTCCTGCCGAGCAGGGAGCCCGATGTGGGACTCAGTCCCAGTACCCTGGGATCATGACCTGAGCCGAAGGCAGACGCTTAACGACTGAGCCACCCAGGCACCCAACAGTTATTACTTTTTAAAACAAACAAGTTTTTAAACTCCTGAATGATTAAATAAAATCTCACCATCACAGAAGGCAACCAATAGCCTGAGATAAGGAAACCAAAAGAAATAACTTTAATTAGCTGGAAAATTAACATCTATGCACTATCTAATTCCTCAGACCTGCTGGATAAATTAGCTACATGCAGGACTGTCATATAATCCTCATTTTTCAGCCATTCAGGCTCTCCACCCAGCCACTGCTGTCTGCTGAGAACTACTGTCGGAAGTCACGAGCATGCTGGGTGGAGCACGGGTGCTGACTGCCAGGCTGTGCATTCGACCCTGGCTTCCTCAGTTACTAGCTCTGTGACTCAGAAGTTACTCCTTGATTCTGTGCCTCAGTTTCCTCACCTCTAAAATGGAGATAATAAGATGCCTTCTTTGTAGGGTTGTTGTGAGCATTAAATCCACATAGGCTTGTAATCCAGTTAGAATACTGCCTGGCACATACTAAGTGTTTAGGAAGCATTAGTTACTAATACCATGTGCAAGCGGGTTTGTGCAAAGCTCTCAAGATGGAGAGATGTAAAGATCTGGTTCCTG